ACTTCTTGCCTTGCTGGTTAAAAGGAGAAAGAAATATATAACACACATTGCCCGGAAAAAAAAAAAAACAGTTTTAATTCAGAAAAAATGCAAACTAAAAACAAATCATGTATAATCAGTTTTAAATGAAAAAAGACTTGACAATGAAAAGAAATTTGGCATGCATGTACAACACAAAAGTTACCCAGGCAGAGCCACATGTAAATTATATGAATTATAAAAAGGAAACCAATCAAGGATCCATGCATGGCGAGCACTAGTTATCCACGTGTTAATTTTCCACATATATTCATTGTGCAGCAAGGTATTAAAAATACAAAGAGAATTCAAAGGTGACTTTTCAGTATTTTACATTAAACTCTAGTTATGCACAATCCCCAACATGAAGCACGATAACAATTTATAATGTGCCTGCTTCCTGGATGCTACCCAAAAGACCTTGCATAAATGGCAACAAATTGATAACTCAGGCCTTCTCAGAACTCCAGAATCGCCCAGGATATTCTGTCAATTTCTAAAATCACTACATCTGACAAATCACTCAATCACTATCCTCACAAGGTGAGGTATTCGCCCTAAACATCTTTCCAGAAGACTGCAAACCATAAGCAACATCAATTCCAATGGCATATTGTATCCATCATGAGGTAACAACCAACATGCTTGTATTTATCCATTACTGCCATCCCATATGTTTCATCAAAACTATATCTAACTCAGACGACAAACACTTGCATATAAGATTTTCACTTTATGCAGGATATGGTTAGAAAAGTAAGATGTTGTTAGCACAAAACTACAAGACAGGTAAAAGACCACTATGCATTATGTGCCTATCGCAATTCATTATTATTATTCTGAATACAGAAAACATGTGCCTGAAAAATGAACTAGCCACCAGGACTTAAAGGTCTGGCACATAAGCCACTTTTCCATTGACCTGGACGTCATGGACCAGGTAAATTTTCTTGCATTCCAGGAAGTTACACTGTGAGTATGAAGCATAGACATGACAGCTGGGCAGAGCACATATATTTTGGATATGAATTACACTTTGAGGCACTTTCTGGGTCCTTAATTACTATTGAGTTCCCCAGTCAAAACATGGCAGTGATACCATGATATGGAAACTGATAGCCTCAAGCTACCAAACAAGAAATCTATTATTCACTGATCGGTAATTGCAATAGGATCAGTAGGTAGTTATAATCAGTTATATCCTAACTAACTTCCTTCAGTAGCTGATAGCGACAATTAACAGCTAACTGATAATCCCCAGTAACATAAATAAAATTCTCCGTAGGAAATGCATTCAATGAGTACAGATCTACATGAAACATTGTATTTATAGGTCAAAAGCACATGGCCTAAGGTTTTAAAGAATATTACACCTCCAAGGCATAAGATCAGAAGATAAGGGCGCTTAGCACACCTGGTTTACCCAGTATACTCTGAGTCCATTTAGAGAACCCCAAGTCACCAGATTCATCACTGCTATCAATCTCCAAATCTGCAGCAGATATTCAACTTATAAATAAGGACGCATTAAAATTCCTGTCCGGATAAAGCCCAAATCCAAATGTGCAAGTTCAAAACTCGAAAACAAAATCAGATAACGCGAAGCAAGATATAGACATAAACCTGAGACGAGCGGGTTTTCTCGAGATCCAGCCAATCCAGCCTTGAGGAGAGCATAAAAGATACAAAGCCTACCTGCCCATAAAACTGGAGTCTCAAGCAAAGAAGCATGGACAGCGCCAGTTTTAGGTGTTCTTTGGTGCAGTGTTGTTTTAGTGGAAAAGATCCATCGTTTCAAGGCCTTTGATTCCAGATGAAAAGTAGGGAAGAGGGATTTGGGCAAGATAGACGTCGGATAAAGATGATTGCAGGTGGAATATAGAGGAGAAGTAGAGGATATTTGCAAGAGCGAGAGAGGCATTTCTCAACCTTTTACAGCTTTCACTAACAATGGCGACGACCTGCTGCTCAAAGAGACGATTGTGTTTATCTTCTCTGCACTAGCGCACTAGGCAAATGCCAAATGCTAAATGCTGGAAACGACGATATTTCACATTTCACATGTGCCTCCCTCTAGAAACGACATCGTCTTGATGCATTATTTGCTTATGGATTAGGATAAATGGTTGGGTGGGACATGGCATTGCGTTTGAGTTTGTCTTATAGTGAGAACTAAAATCTCATAATTTCTATTTCATTCATCTTATTTTTTCCATTTCAAACAAAATTTGAGAGCTTTCCCTTGTTTCATAGATGAGACAGGAATCTAATACACAAATTTATGCACAAGCTTGCAAATTTGGGTACATGCCTCCGCTGGCAATGGAGTCATGGAAAGTCTCAACATTTTCTCTTCCAGAAAGTTTCGATTCGGGTTCTCTGGGAATTTCTGACCGAACTCTCTGATCGCTGTTCGATCAGCGCCATTGCGTCTTGAGTAGAATGCATTATACAGTGGTCATTGGCTAAGGTCAGACTTAAAGGAATCAATTTCAGGTTCACTGGTATGGTTCCACCCAACCTGAAAGAAAAGAGCTGAAGAGGCAATGTGATCTTTGCAAGTTGTAATGATCAATTTTGTTTTCTTTTTTCTGTATTTTATTATGCTCGCTGTTTGCGAAGATTCATGGGCTATGAACTTTTTTCTCCTTTGACTTTAGTAGGATTAATTTGAGAGGAGTCGGATGTTGTTTACAACTGGAAGTTTGGAACCTCAATCTCATTAGTTGCCATGACTTGTTTAGGTGTTTTCTTAAATTTGCTTTTTCTGGCTTTCCTGGTTTTTGCCTTTTGAGATGAAGATTCCTTTGTTGCTTAAATGGAATAATTCTTGCTTTTCTCTTATAAAGTTGATTCTGTTGTGTCAATTTCTCGAGTGGGTCTACAGCGGTTATCGAATCAACACGGGTTTTCAAACATGTAGTTCCCAGGTTCATATTTGGGGGGCTGGCTTCTATCAGCAATGAATGAATCAATATGGCTCCCACGTGTCTCAACTTGTCAGCTACATGGTTTACACTTCTTATCTGGGGTCACAATCTAAACTTGCCCACTTATGGGTCTTGTGAGCGTGATATGCACTTGAATAATCTTCTTTAAAAAAAAACATGTGCTTAATATTTTATGGGTACCATGTAAAAGTTATTGACTGCATCCAGATGTCACTGACAAAGTGAAACATTTCATATTTTCCCTTACAGGTAAGCTTAGATTTGATATCTTACTTTGCCGAGTGAGCATGTCTGAGGAAAGCCGAAGTTGGTCATCTATTAACAATTTAGATATTGAAGTTGTTTCAGCTTCCAAGTGTTCATTGTCAAACTTAGTCCAAATAAAAGAAAAAACACAGAGAGAGAGAGAGAGAGAGAGATGCTGGAACAAGGACTATTGAATTGAAGTCTTGAATGTCCTATTGAATGTTATGCCAGACACAAACAGGGCTCTGCCCTGAAATGTTTCGCTGCCTCACCGTGCATGCTGAGGGTTGGCTGTAATTCCTCTCCCCCACCCCCCCCCCCCAAAAAAAAATCACAACCTCGCTTGAATTGAACTTGCAAAATTTTAAGCTTTCGACTCTGTTTACCTGACATGCGGGTATGGCCTGGGATAGCAAGGTGAAAGCTGACTCGCAAATAAGGGTTTCCAGAAAGGAGCAGATCAAAATTCTAGGATGGATCTAAACCTAGAAGATGGCCATGGCTTCGCCGGATAAAACCTGGAAGAATGTTGCATGGCACCAATCATATCCAAAGCGCCAGGAGCTGCAGTGAAGACATTTGAAACAGTTATAAAACCGTAATAGACATTTTGAGATCGACGTGCCTTGTATCTAATTTTAATGGTGCAGCGTGATTCTCTATTTTCATACAAGATAAACATAAGCTCTCTTGTAATTGTTAAATTATTCTGGGTATGGATAAAAGAAAATGACCAAGAGAGGCATGCTCCGAGGTAAATATAGACTATTTCCAGACTTAAAGTTACAAGGTCTCTCGGGTCAGGTGCATGCTTAAGGATTTTTTTTAGTGTAGGGTTATTTGATATTAACTCACTCGTTTCTGGCTATTACTCTTTTCTTAATATAGAATCTAATTGTTAAGATAAATTTAGTTTGAAAAATAAGATCTATTTTTCATATTTATTATTTTTTTAAAATTATTTTTATAGATACTTTTTCAACCATAATCAAATAAGTTAGATAGAGATAGGATATTAAAAAAAGATGATTATGATGTTTTAGAAAAAAAACATCATAATTCTTGTAATTAATTAACTTATCTAATTTTCTTAACTTAATCAAATTGGTTAAATAAGTCTTATATCAAGGATTAGAGTATTCTGAAACACAGAAAAAAATCATTAGCTTATTAAATTATCTATCGAACCATAAAAAAGATTCAACAAAAGACAGAAACAAATTCACTATCTGTTTTACGTCAAGCAATACGTGGAGTAACTCCCGATATAGCAGTAATAGCTGAAAATCAATATGGAAAAAAAAAAATTTACATAAGAAGGCATTTTAAATCATATGTTTAAGAATTAATTGACGAGTTTATGGAAGATAAGTTACTAAGCCTTCATACTTCAACCCGTATAGGTATCCATGCCAAGTTTCCTATTCCTCAGTGAAATGCATAGCTCTCTCTCTCTCTCTCTCTCTCTCTCTCTGGGACAAAAGAGTAGCTAGCTATGACAAAATCGTTTGTCTGCAAGGCACATGATTAAGGCTTGTTATGGGGTCCACACCGGCCTGTTCTATTCAGCCGTGATTTACCATTCGCGTATTAATCATCAATTTTAATATAAGAAAACCGGGAAGACCCCACAGAGGGCCTGTTCTAAACCACAAGCGAATCTGTTGAAAAGGAGGGTGGTGGGTTTTAAAAGACATGTGAATACTCTTTTCTGTCTCTATCTGGTTCTCTGTTTAGCCGTGTATAAATAATGTCATAATGAGAAGGTAGAGATGTAGCAGGAACCAGAGCATGGCCGAGACTTCGCTCGCAATAATCATTGTCATTATTCTCTTTTCTGGGTTATCTCTTGGAGAAACAACACGAACAGAATTGGTATCAGCTATCACTACTTCTGCAATGGAGATAGCGCCCAGAGATGGTGTCTGCTCATCAATGGTGAAGACGCAGGGCTATCCTTGTGAAGAACACTTGGTAATTGACATTCATATTCCTCTCTGCATCTGTTTCTCTCTTCCGATCATCATCGTAAAATTAGTAAGATTTTAGAGCACCTCCTGATGGGTTTCTTGTGTGATTGATGCGTTTCAGGTGACAACTCGAGATGGTTATGTTCTAAACATGCAGAGAATTCCAGTGGGGCAATCAGGGGGGTCAATGAGAAATAGGCCACCAGTTCTGCTACAGCACGGGCTTTTCATGGTTATTATCAATTTTTAAAAGCAAGTTTATGCCTTGTTTTTTGTCATTGATGATGGAAATTGATGCAAAGTTTGTGGCTGCAGGATGCTATAACATGGCTATTGTTACCTCCAAGCCGTTCTTTGGCATTCCTGTTAGCAGACAATGGGTTTGATGTATGGCTTTCTAACACTCGTGGAACCAAGTATAGCCGTCAACACACATCACTGGCCACGAATGGCTCGGTTAGTTCTGCCTACTGACTGCCTTTTCAATTTCTTCTTGTTTCAGAACTTTTTGTTTAACATGTTTCTTACAAAGCAGTATTGATGGGAAAAAGTGTGTTTGACCCACTCATCTGAAAAGCCCTTTAATCAATGTTGTTTTTCTTTTTATCTGTTTCCACCTATTTGAATCTGATGCTTATATTAATTCAATTATTCAGGGTTATTGGGATTGGTCATGGGATGAGTTAGTTGCTTATGATCTTCCAGCAACAATCCAGTATGTTCGTCATTTAACAAGACAAAAATTGCACTATATTGGACACTCACAGGTAAACTTGACATGCTGTTTTCTTTGCCTTCTGTTTCAATCAAGAAGCAAAGTAACAAACTGCTCTGTAGGGGACTTTAATTGCACTGGCTGCTTTTTCTAAGTTTAAGTTGTCGAACATGTTGAGGTCAGCCGCCTTGCTTAGTCCCATTGCCTATGTCAATCAGATGACATCGCCACTGGCTAGAAACGCAGCTGAAAACTTTATTGCAGAGGTACTTGTTAAAACTTATTGTTGTGTTAATTAAGATTAACATTCAAAGGAACTAACTTGCAGGATGGTTTTCTCATAGCAGTCTTTGTACAAATTGGGAGTATTTGAATTTAATCTGAGAGGGTAAGCAACTCTAGATATACCTTTTTAAGCAAGAAATTGTGTGGCTGTTATTGCTCTGTACTGTGGTTTTGTTGGATGCTATCATATTGCTGGCATTAAACTAGAAAATTTTATCCTTGAGGGTGGAATAAGATCAGAATCCAATCAGATATCACACATTCACTGGAAATCATTCAAAGATTGAACTCCCGTTTCTATTTTTCTCACTGGTTGGATAGTTTTATCAGAATAAGGAAGTGGTTATCACTAATTTTGTGATTTTATTATCGAAATACAAGTTAAGATTGGTTTTGATATCTGTTTGGCTTCACTTTTTTGCCCCCAATGTTTTAACAGGGATGCTGTTATAAAGTTTCTTGAGGACCTGTGCAAGAAGCCAGGCATTGACTGCACCAACTTGTTAACATCTTTCACAGGTACCATGCATATTCCCATTTAGCTGGCTATATTGATCTATACTGACCTTATTATGTATTGGTTTCAGGTCCCAACTGTTGTGTAAACCGTTCAATTGTAAACATTTTCCTGGAACATGAACCTCAATCAACAGCAACAAAGAACACGATTCATCTGTCTCAGAGTAAGTTGTCATCCTTGAATTGCTAGCTTTAATTCTTGGAATTAATGAATGCACAGCTTGGTCCTTTTGGCATTCTTGATTCACTTGACTAATACACGAGGAGTTTGTTCTTTTCAAGAATAATTCATGCATAATGCATTTGCTACTTTTTTGGGGACTATAGCTAAATGAGTGCAATAATTTAGAGGTCAAATTGTTAGGATACTCGACATTTTGTTCTAATTCTTCAAATATGAAGGTAGTACAGATTTTGAATTTGAGAATTCAGACGGAACAAATGGTAACAACAGAAGAACAGGTTGGTCTAATTAGAGGGAAAGTAAGTTTTAATCCTATGGCTAATGCAGTGATCAGACAAGGAACCATAGCAATGTATGATTATGAGAACAAAGTTGAGAATATTAAACACTATGGACAGCCCTTGCCTCCGGTGTATGACATATCAAGAATTCCAAATGACCTCCCTCTCTTCATCAGTTATGGCGGGGCCGATGCTCTTTCTGATGTGAAGGATGTACGACGCCTTCTGGAAATCCTTGATGGTCATCATCAAGATAAGCTTGTAGTGCAGTACAGGGATGATTATGCTCATGCAGATTATGTTATGGGTCACAATGCCAAACAAGATATATATGATCCTCTTATGTCTTTCTTTAAAATGACGTCCTGAATAGGATGCTCTATACAAACACTTCAGGAGGTTCCCTCTCTGTCTCATAGAGCTGAAAAACACAGCAGACTTTGTAGTATGATTACACAAAAGATACTGATATCATTTATAAGAAAAAAGAAATTCCAACTTTTCTCTTTTGTGCAGACTGCAGATTTTATGGAACTGTGCTTTTATTTCTTAAAATGCAATTCTTTGATTGACTGATCAGTTTTTGGCTTTTAATAGTATAAAAAGATCATTAATGAACAACGATTTATTCAGGGCCAAACTAGACTGGTGCAGATTAGGGAAAAGGAGGAAGAAGTTCAACAAAACCAAATCTAGTTCCTATTAAATGATTAACTAGTCTTGCATTTTCCGTCCTCTGTACTACAATTCAAATATTTAGGCTTCTGTGATTCTCTATGATATGTAATACAATTCAAATGTTATAGCTTCCATGATCTCTGACGTAGTTGTTGACACGATACCCCTTTTATGCTCAACGTGTAGACAAAGCACAAGTCTTTGCACGGAATTCAATTTTGATGAGATTGAAATGCTGTTTTAAAAAGTTCTGATATCATATGAATATGTTTTAAAATCAGAAGTCCAAACTGATATGATCGCTATAAGCAGGAAATCTGTTCATGTAATGACGGTAAATATTGCAGTAAACTATGAACAAGAGAGCAAAACACAAGACCTTAGTGTAATGAATTTGACAGTACTAGCAGAAAATGATAATCCCAAGTCTTCTGCAAATAATGATTAGCAAATATGTCATTTAAAGGGGGGGAAAATGTATTTAAATCCTTCTTTGAAGCTCCGATATTGTTGTGCAAAAACTCCATTTGGTGATTATGAATTTCATTACAGAGCCATGCTTCCTTCTTTCCATGTTGCAATCATCACGGCTAACGTGTTATAATCCACATAGGTGGACCCATTCATTAGTTGGTGATAGATTTTTCATTCTGATTCAAACTCACTCATTTGTAATCCGTTAATGTAAAATTCTGACAAAATATAAGGTTTCAAAATCTTTAATATCATGCAAAACTCACAAAATAGTGTTCGAATGATTTTTTCAGTTACATTTAGAGGATGAACCCTTCTAATTTGTGGCCACTAAAACAAGTTACCACGGAAGGTAATAACTAAAAACACATTTCTTAATTATTTAGAACTATTGGCTCCTGCTAAAAATTTTTGTAGCCAATATCGCAACACAATAAAATTCATGAGAATAACACTGATAAATACGGCTCAGTCATTTGAATTGCATCTATGCTTCACCAAGTTGCTGTACGCATGAAACAGGAAGAAAGATCCAAAAATAAAGCAAAAGGATAAACTGTTCAAGTAAAATCCACTCGTTCAAAATTTAACAGAGAGACATAACTGTAATATTCTTTAGCTGATAGCTTTAGACACGACATTTGATAGTGAACTCGTTACAAAGGGTACCTATATCAAAGAAAAGACAAAACTGTTCCAAGGAGAAATTGAAAACCTTTATTTAAAGTAATGTTCCCTGATGTAAAACATTTAGTACAAGAATAAGGAGAATGTAGATATTTGTAATTCCTTAGCTGTGTATTTAGAAGAAGAGAACGGGCATAAGGATCAACTGAGATGTGATCACAGGAAGGAAACTTGTAAGAAACATGATGAGGATGAAGAAGAAGAAGAAGAAGAACGGCATTGGTTGTGACTCAGATGATGAACTCAGTGTCCCAATACTTCGACATTGTTATGACCAACATAGAAATCTGGATTGTGAGTTTCATCATAGTTGAGTTGATCTTCTGGGGGGTCATCAAACTCTTCTTCCTTCTTCACAACGTTGAAGTGTCCTTCAATGGTGCGCTGAAACGCATGAAGCGAGTCGGCGTTGTCGTCGCTAGCCTCCACTGCTTTCATCAAGCACATGCAGGCCACAAGTGCCACGAAGCCAAACGCAATCACCCGTTTTGAGAACGCCATTTTCTGAGCTTTTCCAATTAATTAATGCCGGAAGAAGCTGATGATGATGAAGGAAAGAGGAGAGGAAAGTTGGGTTTTAAAGGGAGTGAGTTTACTATTTTTTTGAGTGATTGTAGATAGTTTTGTGTTTAATTTGGCTGTTTGTTTCACTTGGACCTGGTCTTTAGGCAAGGGAATCCCACATGCGGAAATGTTCTGAAAGAAGTTGCATTTGACAAAATGAGACCAAAGTCTCTTTCTTTAAATAAAAATTACTATGACTATTTAATTATTTAAATTACCATGTCAAGAAGGGAAGAGACTATTGCAATGACTAAAATGCCCATTTGGGGTTTTGATTTGTGGTGTGATTAATAATTAATTAATCCTCGAGAAGTTTCACAATGATCAGTAAAAGCTTCTGTGCCCCTCTGTTCAAAAGTTGTGGCTTTCAATTTTCATTTTGTTGGGTTTTCGTTTCTCCTACTCGCGAATTCTCACTTTCTTGGTAGTTTTTTACTATTCAGTTGAAACAGCCAAGTATGACCCACAAAATAATAATTTTTATTGGGGAAAAAGAGAGTAGCAAAAATGAATAAGGAGGGAAGTTAGGTGAAGTTGCGATGAAATTTTCTTATCATTCTTATTACATGGTTATAGTTAGTTGTTAAAACATATGTGTACTTGCAAATTCGCCTATAAATATTTATAAATTTTTATCACTAATGTAAGTTAAGATTTATAAATTTTCATATGAATAGTTCTTATTTTATTATTGTTAGTTGTCAAAATACATATGTGTATTTGTAAACTAACTTATGAAATATGAACACTTGTCATTTGCTTATTACTGTTTGTTTCAATATGTCAGTACACTTGTAAATTTACATGTGAACTTGATCTAATAAATATGAATAAATTTATCATGATGCCCTTAAAACTATCGCTAAGGGGATCTATTTCACGAGTTTGTTTGGAGCTGCGGTCTATAAAGATGTTCATATAAGTTGAAACAAAATTCTCCTGCGTGCTTATACCGTACTCTTTTAGTTTTTAATATATGTTGAGTTGATTTTGGTCTTAAATATATAACATATTTCTCATATTTATCGATTTTTTCTAAATTACCCCTATGGATCTCCCTCAATCATAATTAAGTATAAAAAGGAGAGAGGATATTAAGACAGATGATTATGGTGTTTTAGGAAAAACATTATATTTTTTGTAATTAACTAATTTACCTAACTTTCTTAATATAATTAAATTAGTTAATATTTCATACTTGTATCTTGTATTTCATACTTCGTATGTTAAGAAATATCAATTCTACAACAGCACAAAAAAGCCCATATGTCATGTGATATGAGTGGTAAAACCAATGGGGGTTGGATCTAGCAGAAGAAGCTAGTCTCTCATAACGTGACGAACCAAGGTTCGAATCCCAACTGGGAGAGGTGCCCACATTTAGTGCCTCGAATAGGATTGTCTCTAATAGGATGATACCTATATTTTAGCTTTAAAAAAAAAAAAAGGTGACTGCATATGAGTTTTTTTTTTTTTTTTTGGGTTTCTAAACACATAATTCTCTTCTGTGAATAGAATTGGGTTCTAACCGAATTAAAGATATTGGGGCAAGCCCACTACTTGGATGATCCATATACTTACTTTAAAGTCCCAAGATGTTAGTGTTTGGCTGACGTGGGCCTAGTTAAAATAAACATATAAAATCAAATTTTTTTCATAACAATTATGTCAAGTTCTTCAACACATGTAAGTTTAGGGTTAAATGATCGTATGGATAAATCTGGACAAGGTTTTACCTGTTTGATGCTTGAGAAAAAGTTGGAGCATTTTTTGCAATCATTGATATAAAATATATAATTCATAAATAATTATTTGTCTCAAAGTTTTTATGTCATCATTATTATTTTTAAATTATAGTCTGAATTTTGCATGGATTTATTCTTCCGTGCAAATGTTTATATTATAGGTAAGTATGAGGGTTATGGACCGGCGCCAATAATTGTGAGTAGGTCATTTCCTGAAGACAGCTAATACAATACTTTGGACTCGTTTGGAATAGTTTATAAGTAGCTTTTCAATCATAATTTACGAAATACGAGATAAATATATGAGATGAGTTTTGTCTCAACTTATGTGAAACGTGCTTATAAGTGATTTCAATCGTGATGATAAATAGGGTCTCTTTGTATGGAATGGGCAAGCCATGCATAATGTTGAATTTAATATTTTAGAGGCAATAATTTTAGACTCCATGTGATGATTTGCATAGATATGCATGTGTACTGAGATTAATACTTTTGGTATCCATTTCTCAATTGGTTCTAAATAAAAAAGTTAACAAAGATATTTTAAAAATAGCTAAAAAGTCTTTTTTTTTTAAAAAAAAAAAGTACTCATACATTTTAATCATTTACATTAAAATTTACTTTTTTAATCAAAAATATTTTTAATATGTGGAGATCAAATGAATTAAATTAAAGTATGACAAAAACAAATCCATACACATGATGACGATTCTGTATTGTTGATATATTCAATTGCTTTTGGTGATTCTTCTGAGATCTATGCATACTATAGTTGATTCAATTAATTGGCGGAGGTAGCATCCAAATTTATGCATTTTTCTACATATCAAATGTTCCTCTAGTACTTAATATAAAATCTAATTAGAGAATTAATATTTATTTTATATGTAAGATTTATTTCACAAGTTTATCAATTTTTTCAAGTTAACTTTATTGATATTCCCTCAATAATAATTAAGTAGAGGAGAGAGAGAAATAAGAAAGATATTTAAGGTGTTTTAAAAAAAAAGACGCATTATATTAACTAATTTAATAAACATCTTTAATTAACTCAAATTAATTAATTAGGTTTTAAATTAAAAACAAGAAGAGGAATACTTATATAGATGGACTTTAAACTTTGGAGCTAATTTGCTTTGGTTTAATTAATATTCGTCTGCAAAGCCAACCACATATACTACACCCCCATGTGAACGCATAAAAAAAAAATAATAATAATAATAGTGATAATAATAATGTATGTATGTATAACATCAAGCAAATAGATTTTCTTAAAATTATTTTTTGTTTTGACAAAAATAGATGATCTATATTATAAAGAGAGAACTCGTAAGAA